ATGATCTTTTAAATGAGGCAGTGAGTATGGGCTAAAATATTTTCAACACTTTTTTGACAAAAGGATAAGTATAGAGAAATGTACACATGCATATAACATGACTTAAACACGTGGAAGTTCCTAAAACTTGGTTCCCCAATGCAATCCCCATCAATTTCCCAACTTTTCCCTCAAACTAACTAGCTAGTGTATACACACACACACACACACACACATATATATATATATATATATATATATCACACCTGACAAAATTATGGAAGAAGATATGCATGACAAGGTGTTCATCGTATATATCCTAATTTTATCTCTTGTCTACGAGCAGAAACAGGATAAGTCACATATGAAACAGATGATATTGATAATGATGATGATCTTCAATATATTCTCCAATCATACATGCCCCAAATTATTATTTTTTTTTCCTTACATTATCTTTTTTTTTTTTTACTTTTATATTTTTCTTGAGTGATTTTACTTTCATATATTTTGGTGTACATGAGTATGCATAATATGATTCCAAGAATTTTATATTCAAAACTCACATGCTGCTGTGTCCAATGGCATATTCATGGGGTGCATTTGATCCATTTTATACATATGCCAGCGCTGTTAATTCAAACCGATGAGTTTATCAATTGATCGTAAACATATACGAGAGAGTGAAAAGTGACGATATTCTTAATCTTAATATTTTAAGAATTAAACAAGATCAAATTAGTGATAAGAGAATATTCTTGCGATTGGAAGAAATAGCATTATTAAATGAATGATGTCATTGGATTATTAAATTGTTGGATCGATGACCTTGTTAACAAATGTCGTTGACTAGTTAATGTAGCCTTTTAATTAGTCACATAATTTTCTAAATTATAAAAAAAAAACAATTAAAGCTTTATGTCATAAAGGAGATATTTGATTTCACAAATAAAAAGGAGAAGCAGACAATTAGATGCTCTTTCGATCAATCAAAAAGCACACCAAAAAAAAAAAAAAAAAAGAACTTCCAGATGAAAAAATGAAGATGATCATTTGCGTTTTCTGTGACCATGTGTTTCCTTCACAGGGGGGAAATACACACCTAATTTCATAACATTTATAAAATAATATATGAGACTATATATTCCTTGAAAGTTTGAAACCTAATATCATAACCTTTATGTATTTTTTTCCTCACTTATCAGTATTAGAATACTCGGTCATCCATACTTATTTAAACCAGCAAATGATGCTCAACGAAAAAAATGGGCTATATGGCATTAAAGATATAATATATATATATATGAAATAAAGAAGTCGACCATTTTCCAATTTTAGTAAACATATACACGCTCAAAATTTAATATCTCATCTTATGTTCATTTGCTTTCCAGCTTTAGTACTCAATTTTGTTGTTAGAGTTTTTCTCCGTTTATATTATGTATCCTTAATTTGTATAACTTATGACTAATAGATCAATATAAAGATAAACTATAAATAATTAATATAAATATCAACCATCAATATATATATATATATATATATATATAAAGGAAACTCATGAAGAACTCATTTTGAGGGAGAAAGAAATTATACAAGTCTTGGTCATATAATAAAGTGGGGTGCCCATCCCACCTTTGCAGTTAATGTTGGAGGTTAGGCTGGCAATCAACAGAGTCGCTGATCACAATTTGCCTTTCAATCCAAAAGTGATAAAAAAAAAAAAAAACACTGCATTATTAGGTTCCTTCATATAATTTTGCCATTAAAATAATAGTCATATGATGTTATCCTTATCGTCATGCTTGATGTTGTATAAATTATAAATAATAACACAACCATTATTATAACCACCCAGATGTCATTAACAATAATAAAGACGCTAATGATCACAAGAATAGCGATAAATTAGATGTTTGGAATTGTACATTTTAGAAGAAAAGCGAAAAAGAATAGTTCTCTGTCTTCATCAGCAATAGATCTAGAAATTGTTTTCTAAACCCATGACCTCATATTTTGTAAATTGACATAATCTATAGTTGCAATTACCTAAGCAAATCATCATGTATATGCATGGTTTGAATATTCTAATCGGCCAACAAGCTAATTGCAATAATATTCTCTACCCCATACGCAACCACCATTGTTTAAATATTCTCTCTTGCGCTACATTAAGAATCTTTTAGTATATCCCTACACGCAAGTTTATGGGTACTTCTCTGTTGTTTTTTTTTGCAAATGGGCCATTCCATTAGTGCCATACGTACTCAAATAATTGATATTAAAAAAATTTATAGAATTAAGGTGAAAAAAAGAAAACGAGAGAGGGAAAATTTAGAGAGTCATAATCAATCGGTGTCGTTTCTTTTCGGTTTCTTTTCTTAGAATTTAAGTATGTGTATATCAATCAGTCTCTTTGGCGCATGCATGTTGAGTAATTGAAGAGAAAGATATATATATATATATATATATATATATTTATATATATAGAGTTAAAGTCTCCCGTCTGACACCGGCACTTGTTCATTTCTCTATAAAATATGTATGGATATATTTTTTAAATATTTATATATTTTTTATAATAAAATATATAATATATGCATATTTTAAGAGAAAATATACACGTTCTAAAGAAGAAAAATACATATTTTATAAAGAAATGAACAAGTGTGAGAATTCATATATATATATATGTTTATATATATATATATATATATATATATCGTAAGCACACAAAATTAAAACACCACAGTACACACATTTGCACGACCTACCGGAGTTGCCAAAAGTCAGTAAACCAGAATCGCATAATCGAAGCCGTTTGGGACCAAGATTTCTCTTCTTTCATAGCCCTCTAAAGGCCAAAATTCAGAAAGTGAAAGACGCATAGTTATCTGATTTTTTGGCCTAGCATATTCCGTTTAGATTTATGTCAAAATATTTCATATGTACGTACCACCTTTTTCCTCATAAAAAAATAAAAAAAAATGTAATTTCGTATGTTAAAGCATTCACGGCTTTTTCGTCAACCAAAAGCCAGTGATAGAAACAGTTTAAGTCGTTGACCTATATCCACTCATGTAAAGATAAAGCTTGAATTAACGGTGATAAGGGTTTAATTTCTTCCTCTCTCTCTCTGTTTTTTTTTTTTTTAATTTTATTTTTTTACATGGAAACAGGTTACTTCACACATAGTTATCATGTTATAAAATCATATTATGTGCTTTTTATAAATTAATTCTAAAAGAATTAATATTATAAGTAAACTTTGTTTAGAATAATTTTTTTTTTTTTTGTTTTTGTTTGTTTTTTCTTTGACAGAAGGAGCCAATCCAAGAAAATTAGATCCTATTCGGATAAGTATGAGAAGGGGAAAAGTGCACGGAAATACAAAGATAAATCAACTTCCAAAAAGGACACACTAGGAAAAAAAAAAGTTGAATGAAACTAAAATTAGAGATTAGAATTTGTATTTCGTTTTCTGAAGTCATTTTATCCTGTAAATTTTGTGATTTAGACCCGAACATCTAAGGCCTGCCCTAGCTAAATTGAATGATGATCATTTCCTAACCAGATTCTGATTTTTTTTTTTTTCTGTTTCATTCTCACTAATTATCAAAGACTTAACGAACTTGTTGAAAATGATATAATTAAACTTTATCATAAATGTTAGGAACTTGCATATGTGCTTTTAGGAATTAGGTTATTCTTCAAACTAATCATGTATAGAGGTAAGTTTTTGAAAATATTAAAAAACAGGAAAGACAACAATAAAAATCATATAAAATTTTAAAGATTTGTATAAACGTTTAGGGGAACTCTATTGACAAACACAATTCTAAACCGATGAATTTTCATCAAACTTTGTTAAAAATTATTGTACTTTCTTAATGTGATCTTATTCTTATACTAGATTTTTCAAATTGTTGAAAGGTTTTGGTTTTTAACTACGTGACGTGGAGACACGTTTCATAATTAGGAATGCATATACACAAATATGCGTATATATACAGTATATATACATATATACATAATTAGGAATATATATATATATATATATATATATTAAAAGAAGAAAAAGAGACTTTTCAATAAATCACTAATAATGTTGGAACATGAATGTACACGGACTGATTTTCTGCAATAATACAAGAACAGCTCTTTCTGCCTCAATAATTTGCCTCATAAATCATGAATTCACACTGTTACTCCAACATTATTATATCTCTTTCTTGTCAGCTAAAGCAAGTGTTTTTTATTTTATTTTATTTTTTCCTTTATTAAGAAATGACTCTTTCTCTTTCCTTAATTCCACCACTCGCGATTCAAACTTTGTAGTGGTTGGAGAAACATTATCTCATTATCATATCAGTCGTATTATTGTTATCTTTTCACCAGCATAACCTTTTACATTCTTTTGGCTCTTTATGACATTATTTTTCAAAGAATAAATATCGTTGGGCACATTTTCTCAACTTTTTCTTTTTTTGGGTGAAACATTTTCTCCACTTGTTTAGAAACCTGTAATGTGCCACCAAAAGTCACTGATTTTCAGACACGTCAGCAAACTACATGGGGCCCAGTATCCAAGCAATGAACACGTTAGAGTTGAAGAAAAAAGATTGTATATATAAATTTCCATTTTTTTGACCATTTTTATCGTCAGAATAAATAAAAAATAAACTCAGCAAAAAGCTGAGTCAGCAACAAGAATGATCAATAATGGTAAATGGATAAACGTCACCGTGAAAATTGGAGACTAGGAAAAGAATGAACACAAAAAGCAAAAAAAACAAAAAAAAAAAAAAAACCAAACGTACCACTTGAGGACACGTGGCGAGACATGAGACGATATTGGTGGTGGGCCCGACACGTTACGGGATCATCAGCCAGTTAGTCCAGCTGAAAAGACCAATGAAATGATGATCGTCGCAATACTCGGAAACGACGCCGTATAGCCTCAGGACTTGCACTATAAATACGTGAAGAGACGCGGTGTTCACTACTACTACAAAGTCCAAATCCCAAAATACACCGCTTTTGTTTTTGGGTTCTGTTTTGGAGTTTCCAAAATATCTCTCATTCTCTTCCTAATTTTTCTTCTTGTTAGTTATATATAGTTCTTATTAAAACTTTCTTTATCTTTATCTCTCTGTTTTTTTTTTTTTTTTTTCTTTCTGAACCCAAAAAGAAAAAAAAAATGTGTGGAATACTTGCTGTTCTTGGTTGCTCCGATGACTCTCAGGGCAAAAGGTTTCGGGTCCTTGAGCTTTCCCGCAGGCAAATTCCCATTCTTTATACCTCTTTTATTAATTTTCTCGCAATTCTAATATATGATAATTAAAAATGAAGAAATTTGGTTGAGTTGATTTTCATCGTCTAAGAAAAAAATGAGCTTCGTGATTCTTGTTCTTGGTCTTTTGTTAATTTATTTTTTGACGAATTTTGTAAGCTCACTAGCTTCACATAATTTTGTGATCTTGATCAATATGTTGTCTCATCAAATATATTTGTATTTGTATTTACACGTATGATATGAAATGACCCCTACTTTGAGAAGCTTTTAATCGATGATTGGAGTAAAAATAGTGCTATAGCGTCATCAAAGAGACTTATCTTGATTATGATAAAAGTATAAACCATGTGGGACGTGGGGTCCACGTTAAGAAAGTTGTGATTTAGAAGTAATATTTGATTTGGACCTAAAGTTTTTGTTTTAACTGCCTCTCTCTGTAGAAAGAACAAACTGAAATGTCACTGTTAACAATGTTTATTGTACTGTACGGCGCAGATTGAAGCACCGTGGTCCAGACTGGAGTGGTCTGTACCAGCACGGAGACTGCTATTTGGCGCACCAAAGGCTTGCCATCATTGACCCTGCTTCTGGTGACCAACCTCTCTTCAATGAGGATAACACCGTCGCCGTCACCGTAATTTTCTCGCCACACCATTCTTATTATTTCTCTTTTTAACCTATTTACCATAACATCCAATACTTACTTGCTGGCAATTTGAAGATTCATTGGTGAGCCTCGAGATTTTCAAAATAGCGATAAAGGGGGTGGGATGACACTAATAATTTTCGTTTAATTGAGAAAAAAAAAAAAACATAGCTCCTCTCCTACCACAAGTTGAGCCTCATATTTGGGTGGGGGCTGTCCCTATTAGTTACGATGTTGAGGTTCACGGGATTCTAAACGCTTAGATTTCGTTCATTTCACCGATTTCAGTTTTTAATTTCAAGTTTTTATAGTTGAAAACTCTTAAAAAAATCAAATTTAATTTTTTCTGTTATAATTAAAAACTCTCAGAAAATATTACATCTCAACTTGGATTGAAAACTCGAATTCGCGAAACGAACGAGGCCATTATATAAATTAATGTTTATGTGAAGTAGTGGAACTAGAGTATTTTGTCCGTAACGCTTTATAGAAAAATAAGAGATAACCGTTTATTAAATAGAGACATCGTAATAATTTTAATTATTTGGGTGGGGCAATTTTTCTCTTGATATAAGAGCACAACTAACTTTTTTTTTTTTTTTTTTTTTTTTTCAGAAAAAATAGCTATAAAAGCTGAATTTTCAAAAGTTGAATCCCCCACTCAATTATGAGTGGTGGAGTATTTCAAAACTGTCACATACTAAATTTGATTTCACATAGTTGTGTGGATTAAATGCTAGTCATAGGTAGGATTTTTGAACTGAGTTTGTCTTAAATATGTGTTAAAAACCAGGTGAATGGAGAGATCTACAACCATGAAGATCTCAGGAAGCGTCTGCCCAACCACAAGTTCAAGACTGGCAGTGACTGTGATGTTATTGCACATTTGGTGAGTGAATCTCTGCATATTTAAATCTTTCCTTTTAACTTTTCTTAAATAACACAACTGAATTATGCTATATACATACATAGAGAATCTGCAGCAGTTAGTGATTGACTAGTAACTATAAGGTTGTTCATTTATGTCCGTGTAGTATGAGGAGTATGGAGAAGACTTTGTGGACATGCTTGACGGCATATTCGCTTTTGTTCTGCTCGACACCCGAGACAACACCTTCATTGCTGCTCGTGATGCTATTGGAGTTACTCCCCTCTATATTGGCTGGGGTCTGGATGGTACGATACATGTTTTCTTAGTTAGACTGTTTTTTCTAGTACAATTTTCGTGTGTTTTGCTGTATTTTGGCATTTCAGTTTAAATGAACAGTGTGTTTCGATTTAATTCAGGATCGATTTGGATATCGTCTGAGCTGAAGGGCTTAAACGATGATTGTGAACACTTTGAGGTCTTTCCACCGGGTCACTTGTACTCGAGCAAACAAGGCGGTTTGAGGCGTTGGTACAACCCTCCATGGTTCTCTGAGGCCATTCCATCTGTCCCATATGACCCACTTGCCGTTAGACGGGCTTTTGAGAGTGTAAGATCCTTCAAAATTCTGATCGCAGAGATAAAAAGTCGAAATTTTTCTATCTTTATCTCATGTGTGGAGAGTGATATATGCAGGCTGTGATCAAAAGGTTGATGACTGATGTGCCTTTCGGTGTCCTGCTCTCTGGTGGCTTGGATTCATCGTTAGTCGCCTCGATCACTGCTAGACACTTGGCTGGCACCAAAGCTGCCAAACAATGGGGAACACAACTCCATTCTTTCTGTGTTGGCCTACAGGTGAATTATAGAATTTAAAAACTTCTTGTTATTGTTGTTGTTGTAATCTCACAGGACTTGTTACAAGAATTGAATAAATTTTCATTTGTTGAGCAGGGTTCACCAGATTTGAAGGCTGCAAGAGAAGTTGCTGACTATTTGGGGACAGTTCACCATGAGTTCTATTTTACCGTCCAGGTATCTCATCGATAAATCTCTTTTTAGCCAAACGTAAAGATTCTTATTCTTTATGAAGAGATGCATTTCTAAAGAGGATTTATTTATTTATTTATATTTATTTATTTATTTTTTCATTTGACATGTGACAGGATGGAATTGATGCTATTGAGGATGTCATCTACCACATTGAGACTTATGATGTTACCACCATCAGGGCTAGCACCCCCATGTTCCTCATGTCTCGTAAGATTAAGTCGTTAGGTGTCAAAATGGTGATATCAGGTGAAGGTTCTGATGAGATCTTCGGTGGATATTTGTACTTCCACAAGGCACCAAACAAGGAAGAGTTCCACCAAGAGACCTGTCGCAAGGTACTGTTTTGTTTTGGCCAGTTATATTTCAGTATTGCTTGCCAGAATTCTGATAGGCATAGGAAAATGATATGAACATTTCTTGTTTGCCCTTTGTTACGCAGATTAAGGCCCTGCACCAGTATGACTGCTTGAGGGCTAACAAGGCAACATCAGCGTGGGGTTTGGAAGCTCGTGTCCCGTTCTTAGACAAACAGTTCATTCAAACTGCGATGTCTATTGATCCTGAGCACAAGATGGTAAGAAACTCAATAGATTTTAGTTTTAAGATTGCTTGATATATTGATAGAATCAGTTGAAACTAATAAGACCATAAAATTAATCACATTCGGTTTCTTATACAGATTTAACTAAACGTCTAATATGTTCAGATTAAGCCCGAAGAAGGAAAAATTGAGAAATGGGTGCTTAGAAGGGCCTTTGATGATGAGGAGCATCCTTATCTGCCAAAGGTACATCATTTTCCCTAATATGTATTGATGCATAATAATAAAGCCTTTTAATTTTTTTACTGACTATTGTTCTATTTGTTGCCCTGTAGCACATTCTGTACAGGCAAAAAGAACAGTTCAGTGATGGTGTTGGCTATAGTTGGATTGATGGCCTCAAAGCTCATGCTGCTCAACATGTATATGCCAGTTTCTTAATAATTTCGTTTCTATTATAATTTCACAAAACTAATTTTATTGACTTGCAAATTTAAATGTTGCTCAACTGTTTTACAGGTGACTGACAAGATGATGCTTAATGCTGCAAACATCTTCCCCCACAACACTCCCACCACAAAAGAGGCCTACTACTACCGAACCATTTTCGAGCGGTTCTTCCCTCAGGTAATGCTTAAAAGCTCAACACCATAAAACACACGGTTCAATATGAAGATTAAAGGTTCAGATTGAACATCATGTCTTAATTTTACAGGTCTTTTAACTTCTGTTATTGTGTTATGCAGAACTCAGCTAGGCTGACCGTGCCAGGAGGAGCGAGTGTTGCGTGCAGCACAGCCAAGGCCGTCGAGTGGGACGCCTCGTGGTCGAAAAATCTCGACCCCTCTGGAAGGGCTGCGCTGGGAATACACGCTTCTGCCTACGACAAAAGCTCGGTTAACAGCGGGGTGGTGCAACCGGAGATCATCAATAACGTACCGCAAATTGCCGTGAGCACCCCAGGAGTGGAGATCCTAAGCTAGTGCGTTAATAATACTATGTAATGGTAGCCGGAATAATAATAATCTGTAAGGGCCATTTAAGGCTATAATTTACAGCATTAAGATGAGAGACTCTCTGCCTTGGCTTGATATATACCGTATAGCCAGTATGTAAAATTTGAGAGAGTACTCTTTTTATGGTGGTTTGTGATATTGGTCTTTACCAATATATATTGTAATGTCCTCAATTATACAAGTTTTTGATGTGTGTTTTCCATATATTGGAATTGTTCATATGATACATAAGCATTCTCTTGTTTGTTGGCAAAGATTGAAGATTCCAATCTGATCATTTCTCAATCAATCTATTCAACCCGGGCCAAAGTCAAGGCTATCCTCAAAGTGAACATATATTTTCGAGTTGTTACTCATTTGCCTTTTTGACTGGTACTAGATTCTCCTCCATCTAGACGAAATAGTTTTAACCGCAAATTGAGATACCTTCCGGGTCTTAAAAAAAAAAAAAAAAAAAAAAAGAAGTCGTATATTTTTGCCATACTTGGGATATTTATAACTGAATCTTAACGTATCTAATCCTCAAATTAATTACTATCTCAGGGGAAAAAAAAATCCCCAAGTAATTACAGATTGATTGTCTTGAGTTTTTAAATTTGAGCCTTAAGAAGTTTTTTGTTCTATGTTGTTGTTATTATAATTGTACCTAATATGTCATTATAATGAGGATTGTTCATGATGTTAAATAGTAGCGTAAAAATACTTAATTCGTCATTATAATAATGATAGTGAGCAAAGGCGAAGGAGATGAATACTTCCGTTTGTCATCGTAACGAATTAATGTCGATCCTGAATTTTGGATAAATAAGTTATACAATTACAAAGATCTAATTGACAGTTTTATCAATATAAGTCGTATATGCATAGGTAAATGAAACATGTCAAAACAACGAGAAACGCGTACAAATATTCCTTCAATTAAAAGCATTAATAGAATAATCACATTTAAAGACAATAAATAAACAACCGTAAAAGATTATAGAGAAAAGTATAAAAACTAGTTCGTATTTTAGTATTCTTTCTAACTTCAAACACGTCACTAAAGGCTATATTTTTTAGCCCAAAAAAATAAAATTTTAAAAATCATCCATATACATGATGTTTTAAAATAAATCAAATTTTTACATCAATTTATCAACCAGGATATATGAAAAGTCGTTCATTCATGCTTTAAGACTCTTTCCAACTCAATTTGAAGAATATATGGTCCTGTTTGTTTTTGTTTTTGTTTTCATTTTTTACGTTTTTTGAAGCTAAAAAATGAAAATGCAATTTAAAAACGCGTTTGGTGCAAAACTTTTTAAAAAACAAAAACAAAAACGTTTTTATTTTTTTGTGAAAAACTGAAAACGGTATAATACCGTTTTCATTTTCTTCTTTTCCTTTTCTCACTCACGGAAGAGGGGAGAGTGCAAACAGCCATTGGAGCTTGACTGGAACAAGCTTCTCTATGAAGGACACGACGGCCCGCCACCATCTTCTCCGACTGCCCGCCACCCCTCTTCCGACTGGCACA